CGCCGCTCGTCTCCACCATTCGCGATGACATGCAGGTATGCATGCACCAGGTCGTATCCATAAAACGTCATTTGAAAACGACGATCGAAGGGAAATGTCGGCCATTTTTGTAACAGCCGAGCCAGCTGCCAATGTGCAATTCCACTCGGGTATATGTTGTCCCCGTTTTTGCTGCCGGTGACGGCACGTATGTATGCAACCATTGACGGTGCACCATATAAGTAAATGCAAATTGCGAATTATCAACTGCAAATGCGCCAACCATGCTTCGGTGTGATATCTTGTTTGTAATACTGGAGTCAGCTGTGAGTAACAGATTCTTTTACAAGATTCGTCGCCCAAAACTGATGCATTGCATGCTATACATCAGGATGTAGGCGGTGAGCGATTCTTTCAGAGATTCCCAAATTTGAAGAACAAACTCCTGTGCAGTATTCTAAATAGGTACCGGGAGTGCAAACTGAGCAGTACTTTACTCGGGGCGGCAGACGAACGGGGGAAGCGTGTCAGCAACGGCGAGTGGGCGAGCTTGATACAGCTATGCGGGTAGAAAGCAGGTGTGGACGTGCACGTTGAAGCTACAGATATTTGCACACGGAAAGCACGGATGAGGGGGTGCAGTGCTTCCGGTTTTCCATTTCGGTTATCTTCTCATCACGACGTCGTGCAGATGAGCTGATGCGCAGCTTATAGACATAGTTACCAAGTCAGGCGCGAACGCCATGTCGGGATTTCCGACTCGCCGGTGTCAGGGTTCTGCTTTGCGCTGTGCCGGTAGCTGACAGTAGAACGCGGCGCATTAGTCGAACCTCTCTACCCTCACAAGACCGGATGGCGCCTGTCGTGAGCTGTGGAGGACAGGCTGACCGTCAGCTGGCCGCTGTCGGGCTGAGGGGCGCCGCCCGGGTCCTGATCCCGGTGGACCGATGAGTGCCTCTTCGCGCCGCTGTCACGGGTCGGAGACAACTCTTCATTCAGATGGTATCAGCACCAGGCGACAATTGGACCCGGCTTATCGATAATTGGTGGATCAGCGTTACGTATGGCCCAGGATCGGTTCGTCGGCCCCGCGAATCCTGACGCTAATGGTCAGGCTGCGTACAAAGCAGCCAAATTTCGTTGTTTGGTTTGGGTGGGGCGAAACATTCCACTGGCGGAAAGGTCAGGGTTGCATGCTCCAAGTGGGGTGCGTGACTTATTTTCAGGGTGAAAGCGTGGCAGAAAGAATTGGATAAAAGGGCTATCGTTTTCCTGCCATGACGACTATGTAATTCGACAGGGCCATATGCAGGATTTCGCAACGGCTGTGGGGACACAGCTCAAAGTCTTCACTAAAAGCCCAATTTAGCACCCGCATGCATGCAAGCTTTCTTGCATGACGTCAGCCGGCATGGTTTGTTCTTTATCTACTTGTTTTCGCGTGTTTACACCGATTTTGTGGTGTGAAAATTCACTTCGCACATATAAATGCGCGGAAATCATTTAAAAGGGAGGGTCACGTGACCTGGAGGTCACTATATGAGCTCGCCGCTGCCATACGGACATTTAAGCGTGTCAGTGAACATGAGCCGTCCGCCTGTTGCTGGCTGGTTACGCTCTTCCCTCAGCTGTAAACGTGTAGGATATGCGATGTGCTTTTCCGTGAACCCATGCAAACTTTTAAACACGGATGGAAGCCGTGAAGCAGTTGCCATGCAGCAGAGCGCCGCCGGTCACCGCCCCACGGCAACCCTCCGACTCAGGCTTCCCCAGAGGTTCGGCGAGGCCCACCGCGCTCCTCTCTGGATGAAGTCAGCGGCAAATCCTGGCGCTTACGCCGAAGCCCCGAATCGGTTGCACGATGGGGCCGTAAGTAGTGGAAAATGTGTGTAAAAGGTGAAATCTCTCGTATTTTCATGCAAGCACAGCCAGGTAACTAATCAGACGCCATGCTGCCCGTTTTTAACATGCAACCAACAAGTCAAGCATCTCAGCCTTCTTACATTTTCTGAAGCTTTAACCTTTATGTGACAATCTTGATCGGACGGTGTGAGGCTGTCCACATGCGTCTACATATATATATATATATATATATATATATATATATATATATATATATAAGTTTTACTTTATTCGGTTTATGATTCTAAAGCCGTGGTCCAACCAACACCGTTATCTGTTGAAGGTTCGTGGTATAGGTGACGCAAGCTGTTATACTATGATAGTTTGCCATGACATGTTGGCTGTTCCCTTCACCTGTGCATGCAGTACGTCCGTTAAATTGAGCATTGGGCACTGCCGTTTCCTCAAAAGATGGACACAGGCTGATCGTTTATGGTAGTTTACGGCTTTGTCGCCGGCTGGCTAGCTGTTCGCGAACACGCTCCGTTCGTAGACAGTCCGCAAACTGTTCGCGACCGTTAAGACATCTTCCTCGATCCAAGACGCTGTTCGCGAACACGCTCCGTTCGTAGACAGTCTGCAAACTGTTCGCGACCGTTCAGACATCTTCCTCGATCCAAGACGCTGTTCGCGAACGCGCTCCGTTCGTAGACAGTCCGCAAACTGTTCGCGACCGTTAAGACATCTTCCTCGATCCAAGACGCTGTTCGCGAACGCGCTCCGTTCGTAGACAGCCCGCGAACCGTTCGCGACCGTTAAGACATCGTCCTCGATCCAAGAGGAGGAAGTGACATAATTTTAGACCTACTCTTTCTTTCTTAACCTGAAGCTTCCACTTTTCGACTTTTGGCACGACATCTTATATTCTGGCGAATACCTACACCATTCTTTGATCGGTATAGCAGAAGGTTACCCAATGTCATTTTAACCATTGTTTGGATCATTTCCTGATCCAAGAGGAAGAGGGGACTCAGTATTATATCAATATTTTGTTTGATTTCTTTGATTTCCAGAAGCTAGCTTTTCGATCTTACCATTTTTCGGTATTATTTCCAGCATTGTAAGTAGGGAAAAAGATGAGAAAGAAGTACTTAAAGCTCAGGGACTCGGAAACTTTGGAACAACATGAAATGAAACTATGAATCATGAAAGCGAGTGGATTCACTCCCCAGCCAGCGCCTTGGCTGAATAGTGAACAGTGGTCGATCCATTGGCGTCAGAAAAGGGGAAACGTCAGCACCCAGTCAGCTGCCGCTGCTGAGGCGTAATGAAACTGGGCTCGTGTTTGTTTGCTTTCGCTCGTGAGGATCGGCGCTGTACAAAGGCGTAGGCTTTGCTTTTCATAGTCATGTAATTTTCAATTTTTCTGTGCATCGCATCGATGCCTCGCTTAGTAGCTTGGTTAACCGCTTGCATGCTCGGATACTAGGAAATAACACACGATGCACGCAGCGATATGACTTCACATTATGCTATATATATATATATATATATATATATATATATATATATATATATACACTATATATATACACCATATACATATATATATATATATAAATATATATAATGCCTTGATATTGGTCGGGACAAGTGAAGTGGTAGGTTCAGATAACACGAACATGACGGCGATCACGGAACACCGAGACAGTTCCGGATGCCGGAAAGAATGTTTATGGTCAATGTACTGCTAGGTTTCCTGTTCGCAAACTGTGAGCAGGTGCTCTTTTCTGTTCGCTCGCGCTTTCAGCCGTCAGGCGGCCAGCTGTTCGCGAACAGTTTATTTATATTTATCCATAAATTGAAATTGATGAACTCCTCATCTCAAAAAACCGGTTTTTGAACAACAAACTCGAGTTCCCAATGTATCTCTTGGACAAAATATGTATACGCTTTTTCGCTTGTGATAGGCTTTTTAGGTCAGTTTCCTATCATGGATATAATGACGATAATCGAACAATCTCATCAGTGCATATTTCAAGTTTCTATATTACTAAGAGCTTTATAACAACTTGGTTTCATAGATATCAAAAGAGGGGGTCGATGCGACCCCCCTTATATTTTCTTCGGATGTCTCTCCGGCATATTATGCAACCATGAAAATTGGCTAGTAATCTACGGAGTAACCATTGGGCGTGTTGGTACACTAAAAACGTGCCCTAGCCTCTCTGTTGTCACGGCAACCGCGTTTTTTAAGGAACACTGCATGACGATCCACGGCCGGCCCTGGCGGCGACCAACAAATCTGCCGATGGCTTGCAGCAGGCCGGTGCTGTAACATTAACGGAGATTCGCATCATGAATGCAAACTCAGAACACACAAAAATGCATGTCAATCCGCACGAAGTTATGTCAGGAACATGCTTGTGTAAATTTCGTGTCGCTAAATGACATGAATTCGTGAATATGGGGATGCAAAGCCAACAATCTGCGATTTTCGGGAAAACTGATCTTGGACCTGGCGTAATGGAGTCAGCAAGCACTCACTGGAACCAAGTCTTTTTCCGCGAGGCTCTACCGTTCTTAGTTTGGAAACGGCAGGGAGCGATCGACCCCCTGCGCCTACCAGTCCACGTTATGAGAAGAGACCGATCAGGGCGAGTTAAGCCGTGACAAGACCATTCTGTCTGACTCATGACTCATTAAGTCATTGAACTCAGAGCATAAGGTGTCCGAGCCAAAATGCACTGAAGTTGGTCAGCCAGGAAACAAAATTGGTCCCGCAGTGTTAATCAGCCTGCCCTGATACAGGCAAGCCTATTGGTGTTATGTATTTTGGTGAGGTGGTGGCATGATTAAAGCAACTAATGATCAGAAATTATGAAGACCAGGCATCAGAAATTAAAGAAATGATCACGATCAGTTCAAGCCCCGGGTACGGTTGGTACTCCCGCACCGGCAAGACGCTGCTTGAAAAGCAAAGTTTGGGAGCAAACTTTGAAACGCAGTGTGCAAACGCAGTTTGGGAGCAAACTTTGAAACGCAGTTTCAGTGCGTGTTTTTTCCTTCTCTCGCCTTGGAGGAATTTGAAAAGATAAGGTGCACGAGAAAATGATACACTTGTTTCAAAAGCGAGGAAATAACTTGAGTAGCGGAAAATGATACCCAACCATTTGTCACAAAATAACACCTGACCTTGACGTGCCCGTACGTAGCCTCACACAAGACAACTAAATTACTTGTATTGAGTTTGACGATAGTTTGTCGAAGTACTCATCGATTTCGAGATGCCATTCACAACTCGACTTGATGCATTTCTTGAAACTTTCTGCAGTTACTGAGTTTGTTTTGACCGAAAACCATAACCTGAATGTATTGTTTCTTTCAGGACCTTCACAAGACATATCTAGATGCATATGTACCCGAGGGAAAGCAAACTAGCGCCATAAGCTACATATTTTGGATCATCAGCGCAGTGCCGGACCGTGATGGAAGTGACGTCGGAATTGTTAAAGTCGTTTCATTTAGATCCTAGCTTCTCGCTATTGACGGTGCGATCGTCTGTGCTTTGCATGGAGCTGTTCAATTTGCTTGACATACATGAAGCATCGGCAATTAATGGTGAGCCTTTTCATATATCGCAGGCAAGCTTCTTTCATCAGTGAATGAACCTCTGGGCGGTGCTCTTCTTTTCGGTGCAGCGTTGCCTTTACGTGTGATCGCTTCACAATCTACCATGCACGTATGCCAGTATATGAGTATGATGTACCAGTATACCGGTGTACCAATACCGGTACACGTGTAAGATGTTTGACTCATTTGTTTTCCTGCAGCGAAGCGCAGAAGTGCAGTTTAAGAAGACTTCTTGGGATCTCTTGGTCGATGAGGATTAAATCCCAAATGCTGCTTTCTCCTTGCGTTTGGGACACTTAATTCTGACATACGAAGAAACAAAAGAAAAATAATTTGTTAAAATCTTCGTTATGTCTGTGTTCTTTGAGTTTTTCTTGAGCATGGTGCCCAACGTTCGAAGCACTTTCGGTCAAATTGGGGGAGCTGAGCTCCACGTTGAGTGTTAAAGCGCTCCAGGTGAATATGGCCGCACACCTTTGGCTTGGAATCAGAACTACACCATCTTTATCCGTTGAAAACAAATCCAGCCTAACAAGCGTAAAAATGCCGCACTTAAAAATCCATAAAAATTACTTTCGTAACAACTGTCAACAAGTACTTCGTCACGCAGGCAGACTCGTGCTTGGTGAAACATTGATTCCCTATTACGCTCATTTTTACCATGCATTTTGTATATCCGCGTGTAAGGAGAGCAGGGGAGAGGGAGGAGAGGGCAAAGCTCTTGAAAATACTTCAGGTGAACATTATACTATACCTTGGTAGGCTACTTGCACTTTTGCTGACTGGCACGGGCCTTCGAATTCTTCACTTGTCGCTGGTGCCGTTGGTTATTACGGCGCACTCACCTGCTGAGGTTTTACGGAGTCGCCTGCCTCTCGCCCTGGCAGACAGGGCGGGTACCACGGAAAATCGAACACCGCATCTCTGGTTTTCCAGATGCGCAGCTTAGCCACACTTAAGGTGCCCCTTTTCTTTATCGATTCGGAAAGAGTTCACTGCCAAGGGGGTGGGGACAATGCGTAATCAACCTCTTAGTGCGCGCAAGTGTGCGCATACGTGTCTGTGTACACCAATACACAGATAACGAAATTTATATGTAACTCCTGCGCGAAACCCATTTTGCTAGCTAGTTTTATCGATGTTAGTACTAATGACTGGGACTTTACGTCTAGCCCACTGTCAGGATCATTGCAATCCGGATGCCTACGTATCAAGTTCATGTGGTATGCAATGGTGGCGCGGCAGGGACTCAAACCCAAGGTCGACAGGTCCGGAGCAAAGCAATCTAACTACTATACCACCGCCGCCCAAGCCATTTTCATTAGATTCACCAAGGACCAAGGGTATTATATATTCAAAGAGGTGAATTATGTAACTGTGAGTAACAACGTGTTGTTAGACATCATCTTTTGGCGGCGCTAACCACCTTCCTTTGATCCGAAGCTGAGATCAGTTGGGTTGGGTAACCCATGCACAAGCTCAACCGTTGTCTCTACGACGTGCATGCGACCCGCCAAATCTACGCCAAGGTTTTGCCTACAGATGTGATTTTCTGTTCGTGGCTGCGCAGCTGCACAGACCTGAGCCACGGCCAGCTGTACGACCTGTTTGAGCTCTTCGACGTCGACCGCTCCGGCGAGATCGACTTCGACGAGTTCTACCTCGTGATTGCCATCCTCGTGGCCGTTAAGGCAAGCACGTGACCGTCGTGATCGTGAAACATTGCAATGAAGTGTCTCTGCAGCATCGCCAGCGCTAGGAGCAGATCACTTCCACGCAGCAATAGTGTCCAGGGCCGCGCCAGCCGAGACGCTGCGCACGTCATCCAAATATGGGATGGAAATCATGAGTTTAAATAATGCTCTTCCGGGTTTTAATGACTGAGATTGATATTGTGACTACATTAGGCGGTCATCTTTGATGTCAAGTTTTATCGCCCCAATTTTTCATTTATAGCGAGCTGCCTTAGCAAACAGTCTGTCAGTAATTTGCGACATGCAGCGTGACAGGCAAACGTTTATGCACTTTATCACCTGAGAATGAAACAATGCAATCACTTAGACATAAACTTCAACAGATCATACCTCGTTCTAGCTGCATTCTCTCAACCGTACCATCGCGTAGCAACAAACGGGAACAACGGCAGAAAACGGCAACATGACCATTACAACAGCAAATACAAAAATGATGCCAACGGGGCAAAAACGCATTTGGCTAAATGCGCTGTATTGTCTATAACATGGCTCTTGATAAGCTCTTAATCCTCGCCCTCCGGGCGTTTTCACCTTTTTTTCTACCAGGGGACGCTCAGAGCCCCTCCCTTTGATCTCAAAACCATACAGGCCCCTTGGAAAACGTCATTGGAAAGCTGTTGTAAAATTCCATTAGGCAGGTGTACGCAAAAAGATGAATGTGCACTAATAGACTAAACCAGGTCAAAAGGGTTAAATTAGCCCTTTATGGGCCGTTGATTTAATCTCAAGGATTAGTAAGCTTAACGAGGTAGCAGCGTCACGCATGCACTCGCCTTATCCCTTATGTAGAGTCCGTCTGTAATAAGTAACTTACCCCGACAGGACAACGTGGAGAAGGAATTCATCTACCGGCATTCACGCGCCGTCTTCAACATCATGGACTTCGACCAGTCGGGCACGGTGTCAGCTGAGGAATTCGAGAGAATAGGCTTCCTCTTCAACTTCTACAGTACCGCCATCCGGTCAATCTTCAAGGAGTTCGACGTGTCGGGAGATTCGGAGCTGGATTTCAAGGAGTTTAAGGTGGGGATGACAGCAAGAGACCAGTGCTTGCCGTTCCGAGATCAATGACAGCTCCGTGGTGAGCTGACGCTATACCCAGCTGTGTGCTTCACACGCAGGGCGGAGGACGGTCCGTCGCACGACAGCCGGGCTTTTTCCTGCCTGCTGTCTCCGTTGGCTGCCAGCCATACTGAGAGGCACCCGATGAGAGGCAAGTCACAAGTACTTGACACTGTCCTGATTCGAGGCTAGAGGATGCAGGGTTGAGGGGACCGATGAGCTGGTATGATCCGTGATGTTATTTTGGGGTTCAAACCGTGAAAGCAAGAGCATCGGAGCCGTCACCGGGTTTAGTGCGTTGGCCCATCCCCCCCCCCCCCGCACTGCCGATATCCCACTGGACACACAACTGTTATCGTGCTGGAAAAACGCAGGTCAGTAATGATATTGAAAAATATTCTTCCTTGCGATGGACAGCACGATAGTCCTAGTGGCTTCTACTGATGTTAGATTCTTGCCGTTGAGACTTCCAATGTATTTGATTCAAAAAGGTTTATGGCTGGAAGATCGGCGAGCCATGGTAATCAAGGACCTCGCATAACGTGAAAGGTAGGCAGCATTTCAAATGGTGTCGCAAAACGATCCAGATGATTGCTACATGAAACAGCTGAGCTGAAATAGGTTCTCCACACTTTTAGAGGACCCAAGTCCCAAAAGCTTTCAACAGTCCATAAAATGGCAATGGTTTTTCACGCACCATGCTGTCCCGAGAGTTAACGATTTCCAAAACATCCACATCACTCAAGCTAACCTAACCTAAACTAACCTAACCTAGCCTGACTCAACCTACCTTAACCTGCAATCAGCTATCAGCTATCACTATCAGCGAGTTGAGATACCACGGAAGAGCCGTTGTGATGTTCGGATGGTTCCAGTCGTTATGGTTCCGTCGTTATTCTCGCAGTGTGTTCTGAAAGTAATGGCCCCTGGGACGGGCAAAGGGAACCGGGAGACAGCGAATAACAGGGTCACTTAACGGCCAAGGGCGGCCAAAACAGGCAGTTTTGGCGAAATCACGAGATTTTGTGCTCATTTGAAGGTGCATGACATATTTTTTGTTAACTTTTTACGGAACTCAGAAAATATTCCCGGTTTTTTTCACACGCGCGCCGATGGCCATTTAGGTCAGATGAAGAGACGTCATGTAAACAGACAACTGTGGCCCAGTCGGGCAAATCTACCTGCGAATAAGTATGCTTCATGCAAATCTCTTCACGTTTGTAATACCTGCCAGGGAAATCACCTGACATTTGAGCCGTACAGGTCAAATAAAAAAGTATGCGTGGTATGACATCGTGACGAGAATGTTAGGGTAGGTACACGGTAATAATATCAACATCTGAGCACCCAAGTACAAAACACGGACTTCATTATGTGGGGCCCATCTAGGCTGCCCACTAACACATCCCAGTGTGCTGCGGTGTTGGATGCAGTTCTTGTATACTGCTGCTAGATGCATTTCCAGCGCCCACAATGATGGTGGGCAAAGTATGAACCTGCATGTCCATAGGTATCAGTTGTAAAGAAGAAGCTCACCAAAGGTCAAGGATGACCACCATACATTAATGGCTGCCCGCGCCAACGCATGTAGGTAGACAAGTGAAGGCACACATAAAAAGGCAAGCATGCACGGATCTGTCACCATCGCTTCTGATATTTGTGCAACATTTGTCAGCCACACACGCCTTTGTGCATCCTGTGTTGTCACCTCTACCGTCCAGAGACTGTTTCCCGTTGTCCCATGTTTGGGCCGAATGTAAGCACTGACGAGATAAACAGCGTTAGGTGCAACGCTGGCTCGCAAGCGGCTAGCATCCTGCGCACGTGTCCACAGGTTCTGGTCCCGTCAATATGTTTTTTGTTTTTGCTATCACAAGTCCACCACTGTATGCCGACAGCTATTCGCAATGGCGTGCATCGACCAGCAGCGTGCCATCTGGCTGAGTGAGCAGCGCAAACAGCTCCACAGGAAGCAGCTCAAGTTCTTAAGCGACAACAGAGAGATGCTGCTGTTCCACCTGAGCAACAGACCGAGTCAGGCGGCCCTTCTGGCCTCCCCCCACGGTGTGGAAACGGAGGCGCCCACAGGACGTTAGGTCCAGTGGGCTGCTACAGTGAGTGAAGCAGGATTGCTACTATTTAAAGTCGGGTGGAGGCTGAGCCGAAAGGGTTGACCTGGTAGGGGGGGGGGAGGGGGGCTCGGACCACTCCAAAACCATGTTCAGTGGCTCCCGTGGAGTGAGGCCGCTTTTGGGCCTCAGCGCGGTGCACGCCTGGCAAACACGTCGTAATTATTTGTTTGATTCAGCTTCAGCGGCATTCCTTCCGCTCCACATCCACCGCACATACTGCTGATTTCAAGCCTGGTCCGACCGAGATGTGGCGTCGATTGCACGGCCGTTATAGTCAATACCGACGATCCTTTTTAGCACGCACCAATTCGCTCACACTCCACCCAGCACAATTTTTCGTACACATCGGGCCTGTGTTAACGCACAACGATCTGATCCATCCCAGAACCAGTTCCAGCTTCACCCAGGACCGAGCACTAGACTAATGTTCTGAGGCCGGCGGTGATGTCCAGCTGTAGCCTATGGCTGACCTGCACCGCGTGCGTTGAACACCGCTGGCTGAGCAAAGCTGGCGGTATGCTGTTCGCTGTTCCAGCTGGAGAACGATAAAAACACAGTTGCGGCAAGGCGACAGCCGCGGCCGCAGAGCTGAAGGAGTACGATGAAGGGAGCACCAGGCGCAGGCGCAGCACGGAGACCAGACTGGTGCCGGACTCTGTCTCCGACAATCCCTCCAAAAGCCGCTGGCAAGACATTCGCGTACTCTCCATTCGCGCGTCAGTGCTGTTGTGATGGATGAAGCAGACGGTGTTCGAGAAAGAAATGACATGGGTGCAAGTCAAATACCCTGTAGGACGTACGTTATGCTGTGCCGGGCACAAACCCGAATTGCGATGATCTGACTTGTGCCGGACGACCAACCGAAGGTGTCACCAAACTATTCTAGTAACCTGCCATCCATCCGGGGCATTTAGTGTAGTAATATATATATATATATATATATATATATATATATATATATATATATATATATATGAATCATACATATTGACATTACACATTGCAGGAACGTCTGTTCCGCTGCCCATTACATACCGTCATCACTGTACCCAGTATGGGCACCGAAAATAAAAACGAGCCGTGGTAAGCCATGGGCAACCCGCACTTTGTGTCTGTCTGGTCCCGGTAGCCGTCTAGTATGGCCGGTGCTTCCGCTATCCCAAGTCGTCAGCAGCAGCATGCCAGTCTCAGGCGTTTGTGAGCAAATGGATGCGTCGTTTTCTTCGTCCATTTCCCGACTAACCACATCATGTAACAGTCTGAATCAGCCACATACAATCCATTCTATTCCTCAAATAATACAAGTATTACATCACACATCCCATTAAACAATCTATCGTCTGTTGGAATCACGCACCGATCAATCTAAAATAAAATACACCAGGAATGATTCGTTGACACATCGGTCGCCACGGCGTCATTGCGCTATGCATTACAACGCACGCACACACAGAGTAGGTACAGCAAACATATAAACATATTTACTCCTTGCTGGCTTGCAGCTTGTCAGCATAGTGACATTTCGAACACTATTACCATTGCCGCCTACGCAATCCGTTTCGAACTTCACCTTTATTAGCCTGAAAACGCTGAGAGCAAGCCTTTTCCAAACAGATATCTCACACATGATCTACCATGGCACCAGCCGGGCCGAACCACTCCGAGACGCTCGCCTCACGCGCCTAGTGGCGGCTGGCAGAGGCTGCGGTTCTACCGCCAGCCACGGGGCGGCGCCACCGCCTCAGTTGTTGTCGGCCGTGCTCTTGTTCTCGCGCGGGTAGAATTCGGCGATGGTACTGGCCGGGATCCGCTTGAGCATCTCCTTGGGGAAGATGCGCAGCAGCTGCCAGCCGATGTCCAGCGACTCGAACACCGAGCGGTTCTCGTAGTTACCTTGAGGTGGAGGACGCCATGAGATCAATTATTCACGAACGGTCGACTTCCGTGTCGGGATCACGCCCTTCTCACTACGAGTTGATGGCACACTTTCAACGAAATGCCCAAATCACAAGAAAGTTGCAATGATGACTACAACCAATTCGCAGACAAGAATATTTCTGCATCAACAACATATGCCCTCCACTGGACTAAGCTGTCATGTTCAAATCGCCTTCAAATGGGAAAAACGCCAGTAATGTAGATCTAGTTTGATCCTTCCTTATTCAACCATTCCAGCGCACACTGGTCAGATGCGGCCCTGTTCATGCCACCACCGGCGCTCGGCAGGCTCATAGCCAGCTCACCCTGGGTGATGAAGTGCTTCTCGAACTTGGTGAGGAACTCGAGGTAGAGCAGATCGTCGGGCGTCAGCGCCTCCTCACCCACCACCGCCTTCATCGCCTGCACATCCTTGCCGATGGCGTAGCACGCGTACTACAACACGCCACAGCCGCATCAGTAGGCACACCCCACACGACGCACCGGTGAGACGCATCAGCACACTCTGCCGCTGGCGTGCAGCGGGGAGCACGCACACAGTCCAGGGGACCTGCGAAGTCGCAGACGTCCTGACGAACGCCGCGACGGTATGACTCATGACAAACACACCGTCAGCCACCCCTAGATGTGCCAGGGCACTCCAAACTATCAAAATACAGAACCCTCCCCCAGCCGTCCACAGACATACCCCGGGGCCGACCCGTGACGGGCGCCCCATTGGCCAGCGGTCGCAATGTGTCCGCCGCAGAGGGGCGCGGCGGCTGGGCCGCGTGCTGTCAGAGGGATGCGGGCCCTGGTGCGGACCGGGTTGGCGGCACCCACCAGCTGGTTGGAGACGTCGGCGTGGTCCTTGCGCGTCATGCCCTCGCCGATGGCCGACTTCATGAGACGGCTGAGCGACGGCAGCACGTTGATGGGCGGGTAGATCTGCCTGTTGTGCAGCTGCCGGTCCACGTAGATCTGGCCCTCGGTGATGTAGCCCGTCAGATCGGGGATTGGGTGAGTGATGTCTGCAACGGCGCCACGCACCGTCAGCGCACCGAGCGCGCCGGACACGGCACAGCAGCAGCTACCGCACAGCGCCGACCACGGGTACACCGCCCAACTTCCAACGGAGACTGCGCGCGCTGATGACGGTGGCTAACATATTGCCAGCTTTCAGCGGGTCTAAAAACGCATGCTTGGCCGTCCGCCCGGGATACTGATCCACGTCAAGACAACAGCTGACATCGACGTGCCATTGACAACAGATGGCATCTCACACGCACCGCGTCCGAGTTCCCTCCTTTAACTGGCCCACCAGCGGGCGTGGCGCGAGCGACGGGCCGGCCGCCACTCACCGTCGTTGGGCATGGTGAGGATGGGGATCTGCGTGATGGAGCCGTTGCGGCCCTCCACGCGGCCGGCGCGCTCGTAGATGGTGGCCAGATCGGTGTACATGTAGCCGGGGAAGCCGCGCCGGCCGGGCACCTCCTCGCGCGCGGCCGACACCTCACGCAGCGCCTCGGCGTACGACGTCATGTCCGTCAGGATGACCAGCACGTGCTTCTCGCACTGGTAGGCGAGGAACTCGGCCGTGGTGAGCGCCAGCCGCGGCGTGATGATGCGCTCGATGGTCGGGTCGTTGGCCAGGTTGAGGAACAGGCACACGTTCTCCATGCTGCCGTTCTCCTGCGGGAGCCGATGGAACGGTACAGGCCGGCCGCAGAGATCGCACACCAAATTCATCCTCTTCTTGCGTGGGCCTACAGGGCTTCAGAGTCCAGATATAAAGCAGCCAAGCGATGTAAAACAAACAGTAGACATACGCCAAAAAGTAAGAAGCAGGGTAAGCTTCATTTTTATTCACTCCTCCACAAAAATAGCAATAGCTCATCGGCAGGGCATTGATCAATCCCGTACCCTCGTGCGACCCAGCTCTGAACCTGAAAAGACCCGACCGCCGCAATCAGCGCGCGGCTTACCTCGAAGTCCTGCTTGAAGAAGCGAGCCGCCTCCATGTTCACACCCATGGCGGCGAACACGATGGCGAAGTTGTCGCTGTGGTCGTCCATCACCGACTTGTTGGGCAGCTTCACCAGGCCACCCTGTCTGCAGATCTGGGCGGCGATCTATGGGGCCGACCGGGCCGAGTTAGGGCGTGCGCGGCCGGCGGCGTGACGACAAACCGACGGCTGTCTGCAGCGGTGGGGGCCGCTCTGGAGCGTGCCTCTCGTCTGTCCCAGTCTGTGCCGACAAGGCACGCCCGATTCGACCATGCGCCAATACGGTGCTTAGAGACTGGAAGTTGGCACGATGCCAGGAACGGCTGTGGCTTTTTGTAGTGTTATGCAGGGCTGGAAACATTCAACGTACCCGTTTTGGCACAGACGCTGTGAAATGCGACAAAGCGGCAAACATCTATCACATGGGAGAGCATCTTGCATGCCAGCAAAATATTTTCAGTGTTAATGGTACTACATGTCATCATATTACAAGATGTAAGTCAGTATACAAGGTATTATACATGCATTTACCCATGTACATACTATGCAGCATATATATATATATATATATATATATATATATATATATATATATATGCATGCTGACTTGACTGCACATTGACTCTGCAAGTTGACTATTGTGAAAACGTACGACAGCCGAGACAACAAAAGCACACATGCAACGAGGAACAACAGGTCCAACAACAAGTGTTGCTATCAAAGTATGAAGACCCTGAGGTTGAACACACTGCGACGTGTTGGGAATATCTGAAGCACGCCAAAAGGCGAAGGCCACACAATCCCCCGTGCTCAGGTGTTTCTCAGCGCGGGTTTTCCCTCCAAGTCTAGCTGTTGAGCCCCGCTGGGTGGCGATATCCCGGCACTGCCAGGCGGGCGACTGCGGCTGGCCCGTACGCTGGCACACGCCACTCACCTCGTTATGGGGCAGACCGGCCGCCGAGAAGATGGGGATCTTCTGTCCACGGGCGATCGAGTTCATGACGTCGATGGCCGAGATGCCCGTCTGGATCATCTCCTCCGGGTAGATGCGCGACCACGGGTTGATGGGCTGGCCTGGAGAGCGGCACCGGTCAGCGTTACGTCGCTCGGCTGGTTCGCTGAGATAGCGTGAGATCGGGCAGCGACTGTGATGTAAGCTCAGGACCATCAAGTCAAACCGAGGCGAGTGACAGTCCTCTCATCGCAATAGTAGAGGGGAGGAAGTTAGCCTGTGTCGCATCCGCATGGGTCACACCAACGGGACACACGGGTTTCTCCTCTCAGCAGGGTAAACGCAGAAATGTCCTCCCTTTGATCACGCGCTGTCCGTCGCTCATGCCCTGGTGTACTGTTCGCACCTTGCTCCGGACCGCTGTCGTCACTTTGATCGTCACATGCAACGCAGACTATCCTTGTGATCACTCATAGGCAGGGACCCTACAATCGACGTGAGAGCAGTCCCTGTATTTCTTAACGACATTGACTGCACGACCATTCACTCACCTCAAAAGCATCTTCTGACGCTGCACGACCCTGGCTGAAAGAATCCTACAGTACTTACTTTGCACTCCGCGTGATGTGACCGTTCATTTCGCACAGCTTGTTTTTGTTTTAACACGTTTCGGGAATCTTCAACATCGACCTTATTTGAAACAACACGACATAGTTTTGTACAGCCATAGTCAGACAGGAGCGGTCGCCCAGCCATCGATACCAGGGCAGCAGCTGGGTCGGCGCAGCCCTTACCCTGGATGTCGAGGAAGTCCTCAGCCAGCACGGGCGGCCCCTTGTCGATGGGCTTGCCGGAACCGTTGAAGACGCGACCCAACATGTCCTCGGAGACGGGCGTGCGCAGGATATCGCCCGTGAACTCGCAGATGGTGTTCTTGGCGTCGATGCCCGACGTACCCTCAAACACCTGTCAGGAAGTGCCCTGGAGGTGAGGCGGCAGGCAAGAGAGAGCCCAAAGACGGAGAACGGACGACACCTCGAGCGAGACCCGATGGGTGGCGTACAATGCCACAGAAAACAAAACCATTAGTGGCGTCCTCTGCCTCCTCTGCCTCCCGCACACCATCGCTTTAGGGCGCAAGAGGACAGATCTAAGAGTTTTGCATGACCATGGAAATCCAGCATGTTGTCAAAAAACCCAATAACCACTACTGCTGCCATTTAGACCAGGAGGCAGGTAACAATGAGGCCACAGCTGAACTGCACCTGTGCAATTTATTTGGCAACTGGTGTCTTAACTGACCTGCACAACGGCCTTGGAGCCGCTGACTTCCAGCACTTGACCCTGCCGGTCAGTGCCATCCCCCAGCGTCAGGTTCACGATCTCGCCGAACTTGGGGAACTTGACGCCATCAAGGATCACCAGGGGACCATTCACACCTGACACTGTCTTGTAGGCTGGAAACAAGGACCCATGTCAGCAATATTTCTGTTTTGAAGGGTGGCCACATATGAACTGCCCATGAACAGCCTGGAGGAAATCAATGGAGCTGTGATGAGGAGAATGCTGTCTAGTATAGTATCAGAGTGTATGTGCAGAGCAACCCAGAATGTTCAATTGTACATAATATAACATAGAATCTTGGCTAGATTTATTAACTCCAGACTAGCTATCTGCTCACATCTCCCTAACTTTCATCACCATACCTGTGGATGTTAAGACATTAACATCTAAGTTTAAAGGTACTGTGCATGCTCATAACAAAAACTGCAAATTGCTGTTCACCATGTGTACAGCATGACATGAAATGTCAAGAATTACAATAAAAGCATATATTCTTTGCCATCCCAGTTGCTGCAAATCCTCCCTTATCCTTAGCAGGTGGCTGGTCAGCCAATGTCTGTAAGAACTTAAGAAAGATCCTGTTAACAGGTCAGCCAGAGGATGCTGTAAGCAGGCAAGAGGGTGACCAGAAGTGATCCCATGACATCTTTGATATATGCTATACCTTGTATGACTGATAAAAAGTGATATTCAGTCAGGTTTACAAAACTCAGTGGATGTGCCATGTAGTAATATGTACACCTTCACAAGATCTGCCTGCAAGAGGTGCAACATCCCTGTCTTGGTCAAAGACTACCTTAGATACTGCTCATACAAGACAGCAGCTGATAGAAAAAGCTTCTGCCAGTTGGTTTGCGGTACCATTAAAACTGGCTGTGGAAAACAGCTGCTGAAAATAGCAATTGCACAAACCCGCATAAAATTGTTGTTGGGGCTCCTGTCAAGGTTGCTTCAATGCTTGCAGTTAGCTACTGGCTGGCATGGCCTATAGTTGATGGCAGTGGCCACTCAAGGTCAGATGAGGTCAAATGGCAGGGCAGACCATGCTGATCATTGCAGGATGTTAAAATTATCCACAAAAATATCCAGCTTGACTGGAATTTTAGGATCTGTTGATGGAGCACAGGCTGATGCATCAACTCCTTCTTATTGTGGCCGCTAGTCCCAAAAATCGATCCAATCAAATATTGTACTAATTTTATTTTGAAAAGTTGGGCGCTCGCGATAATTGAAAGGGGCTCGAATCCGTCCGCTGAAAAGGAAACACTTCTAGGAAACTAAAAACCTAAGTCCAAAGTGTAAGCTACCCTTGGTGCTGACGGGGGCACAAAGGTTTTTACCCTCAGCGCTGGGGGGTGCGTCAAATAGAAAGGATTCACTTACTTAGACGAGGCTGGGAAATGTAATCTCTTGTTACAGCCATAGTGTGTTCGGCCCTCGCCTGTTGTGATGTTAAGGTGGCCGGCATTTTGAATTGCTATCAATGACACTACTTGAACAAAAACAACTGCACCACGAGCAAATGTCGGGCGAAATTTAACACCGACAAGCCAGCACTCCACGCATAACACGACCGCGATCCACCGTCCCCACTATCGAGCCGCAGCTTTGATACGAGGCCTTCGCTGGGGTTGTTGTCAATCAGGTGATTCGGCGTGAGACGTTTGGCTGTACTTCAATAAATATATTGCGTTTACTTAAAACGTAAGTAAGCACCTAAGAAGCTTACAGTGCGACTCAAATTTGATGCTTTAATTTATAATTTTAGAAACTGGCTTTCTAATTTATACATTGACCACAAATTTTTGAGGACCTGAAGTACGTCCATTCCGATTTTACGCCGGCCGTTTCAGTAGTAGAATACAAAACACGGTTTAGTATTTTGAATATGTTTTAGTAAATATCTCATCCTTTTCATAAATAATAGTATATTTAGTGCCGAAATAGAGAAAATATAGGCCAAAACAGCAGAATATCTAGGTTTATCTAACTTAGCGACGCAAATGATCTGTCCCATTTTTGTAAAGAACATAGAATTTTGGAAGGGTTTGAGACAGATACGCCTCGGAAGTGGCAAAACAGCAGTACCTAAATTTCTGGCGCGTAATGCAAATTTGACCCGATTGGGAGTGCGGAGAACAGCTGGGGACTGCGGTGTCGAGCGCGCCTGTCTACTCTTTATTCATTTTGGTGGCTGTTCTGGCGCGTAGCTCTCCCTGGGAGCTTTTGGGCGCGTTGACGCGAAGCGTGCAGATCTAACATTCTTGGCTGCTTGGTTACTATATATAGCTTGATTTATTCTGACTTGAAGCATTCCCATTAAGTTAGAGCAGTCCGAAAGGGCTGGTACATTAAAGGGATTCGTGTATATCTTCAGCCTGAAGCGGGCCAGAAGCGGCACTTGCTGTTGAAACTCATGGCTGTGTGATACTGCTGGGTACATTGATATAAATTTATTCAATCATTTGGTGTCTATTTGCACAGCTGGAAGCACAGAATATTCATTGGCCTCCCCTTTGCAACTGGGGCAGCAATGAGTTCATCAGATGATGAAAGGTTTGTGTTTCCACTTATCACATTACTTTAATGCAGGTAGATGGTGAGATTGTTTATTGAAAGCTATTGTGTCATATTGTTGTGGTGTGATTTTAGTATTTCTTTGTCCATATGCTGCTCAGTGGTTTTCCCTGAAGCATTATCCCTGTGTTTTTAAATTAGAAAACTGTTGACTTTTTTCTTTGATTCTAACCTAGTGAAATCAAGCCACTGAACAGCATCAATTCATGTGATATGCTTGACAGAAATGATCATCTGCTTTCCAGGATATGTTAATCATTACATGACTGTCATCATATGACATTTCATGAAATCCTCAGTAGTTCAATTCCTATAAAACTGTCCTAAATGGCCAGGGGTAAGCTAGGGAGAGATTCAAGCTCTAGATAGATGGAATTGTTTTCCTGCTCTTGCTATTTTAAGCCATTTTTTCTGCTCATACACACTACTTTGACAGCTGAATTGGTATATCAAATGCATTCTGATTTGATACTGTATCTGTAGACAACTGGTTATCTTCAAAAATTAATAGGCTACACACTTGCATGATATGAGGTGAACTGAAGTAGAGAAAATTATTTTCATGGCATGATCAATCCTGAAATAGACTGAACTGAATGAACTCAGGATCAACATATCAGCATCAATTTGGAAGACATGCCCTCCACCTTTCTGCTTGGTTGTTTGCTCTATGCATCATGTGTTCTGGCATCTCAACCAGGCAGTAACCTGTCATAAGTATATTTAACTGAGTTTTTTAAGTCTTATGTCCAGTGCCTATTGACTCCACGGATCCTGTTAGTCTGGTATGCATTCATTTTCTGGTTTCCATATCAGTAAGCTCACTCTTACATCAGTTGTATGTTATGACATGTTATCATTCAGTTTTCTCCCCAAACACAAACAACACACAACATATTTTAGTTATGACTGGGTTTGTTCCATGTACAAACTTGATTGAAATAAAAAATTGTGACCCTCATTTCAGATTTAGTCAAAATATGTCTTTCCAGTTGTCTGATGTTGTGAACCTGGGTCACTAATTTTTTGCTTGATTTGAGTGTCTGATCACTAGTCTGAGCCTGAGGCTAGGGCCCTGAGATGCTATGGTGTATGAGATTACCCATGGCCCATGATCTTTCATCCATCCATCATTCATTTATTTTCATGCTGTAAAAAATGGTAAAAGTAAAAACCTATATGCTATCCAACTAGCTATATGCAGCTTGGGTTGTTCATGCAATGATATTAAATCACATCAGGACTTCAGGTTGTCTTTTCTGCTTTTTGTACCTTTTGCTCACATAACTTTGCACTGTGTATCATCACATGTTGGTGATAAACATGCACAATTTTTGTTGACTGAGTAATTGCTCATAGCCTGCTCTTCTGAAATTATATTCCTAACAAGGTATTTGTGTATGAGGGTTCCCGCTCATAGTAATGCAACAGAGCATGATAAGTACTAAAATGTTCACCAACATTTTATAAAACCTAGAGCTTTACTAAAGTTTTGCAGAAAGTTGGATATGCAGTGAACTTTGTGGCCAGAAGTGCCCATAGCTTTGTATAAGTCCTGTTGGTATTTTCTGTAGGAAATTTTTGGTTAGGGCATCAATTTTAACCACTTATAGGGAATGTCTCCCTTTTGAAGGTCTTAAAGGAAACATCAGATGTGATGAAACAAGCTCACTTATAACTATCCGGATACTTTCAAGCAGAAAAGATTGCTATAGACACCATAAATGCTCTAGTAAATATGGCCCTCGATGCGTCGTTGTTTAAATGCGTCATCGTGCCTTGCACAACGCTGATTGAGAGCCAGCTGACGGCCGTTTTATCTGAAAATCGTGCTCACGAACGCCAGATATGAACGAGTCGATCGTCGTACCTTTCAGGCCTTGATCGCTGCATGGCTTATGAGGATTTGAATGACGTTATTATGACGTCATGACTGCCGAGGTGACTGAAATACTCTCCCTGGAATACTCACCCCATTTTCGCGGGCGTATAGCTCAGAAACCAGAGGGGTTTAGGTCTTAAGGTGGGCAGGGCTGTTTACCTCACCGAAAGATGTTCAAAATGGCTATTTGGGTTCAAGACCCCCTGTAAATGCGGAACACTTCCTTTGAGGGTTTTCCGGAATGATTTCTGAACAATGCAACGTAGCCACACGGACCTTTTCCTATTTCCTGGCAATTTCTGTTTCTTCGGCATATAAAGTCATGCACACCGCTATAGATTTGCTGAACTTTAGAAGGTCAAATTGAGAGTCACTGAACTTAAGAAGGTCAAAGGCAGGCCGTGGTAGTCAGCGGGCAATTAATTCGGAGTCTTTCAAGCTAATGCGACAATAACCTTGTACAAAATCATACAACTTTTAGCTGGCTTCTTAGACAGTCTGGCTAAATATAGATGCTCAGATTAAATATTAGGATAACGATTTCCATTGACCTCGGGTGATGTGCGACGGTTGGATCAAGGTCAAAACCAAACAACTGGAAGACTGCCGTCATGAGGAAGTTTTTTTTCGTTCGGAATTCCGTACAGATACCTTTGAAGATATTGAAGCAAACATCAGATTTAGTGAAAGCAACTCATAACTATTGATATACTTTTAAGTGAAAAATTTCTCTGGACAAGGCAATTACTTTTTTTAGTATATGTGCTCCTCAATAAGTTATTGTTTGATTGTGTCACTGTATCTTGTACAACATTGATTGAAGGCCACTTGAGGGCCATTATATCTGAAAATCGTGCTCACGAGCGCCGGATGTGAAATGAACGAGTGGACAGCTACCTTTGTCTTGACCTTGAACGCCGCGTGGCCAGCCGAATGACAGGATTTCAATGGCATTGGAACGTCGTGGATGGCTGGGTAGCATTGAAATGATTTGCGCGAAATAATCTGCACATATTGAGAAGGGTGGGGCTGCCAGCTGCACTAAGTGATCTTCAAGATGGCAATTTCAGTTCAAACCCGATGCAAATGTGGAACACTCACTTTAACGGAAGTCGGCATGTTTGTTAATTGGGCTTCATGAAGGCCAGGGGCCACTGATCTAAAATGACCTCGATCAATATTTTGCTTTGAGGAACATGGCGCCTTGGGTGATTCTTGAAACATATTTTGAATTCAGATATGAAGACAGTCCTTATGTTTTTGGTCATTTTGACCTACTCAAGGTTAAATATGGTCACGGGTCTAATATGAAAATGAGCGACATTTTCCTTAGAAAAAGCATTCGGACTAAGACTTGATGCGTTAGAAGGTCTGAGAGCGTTTTAGACACCGATCTCGGGTTTGGCTGGGTCTGACCATATTTGACCCACAGGCCATGACTTAGAGGCCTAAAACCTTGTCGCACGTGAGGTTGCACAGAGCCACACCTGGTTTATGAATTTGGTGTGTCTACCTCCCTTGGTTTTGTATATCTCGTGGTGAAGTAGGGTTAAGTCGAACCTGATCCGCATCTGGCGCGTCATATTGCACTAGCTGCCGAGGCGCATGCTAAGACTGTGTAATGGATATCTGGGCATACATGCGGTCCTTTGCATGAGGTGTATCATGTAAAAATAAACCAAAACGCTCTATTATGATGCTGGTATTGATTCGCTCTGTTTAAAACTGGGCATAATCTCCTTGATTGTGTTCCGACTATAGGCAAAGATCAGCAGCAACAGGCATTTTCTCCATAAAAGGGACGACCTTTGTGCCAGTCCTTACTTGATGGCTGCGTGCAAGTACCATTTCTGACCTTATCAGTACGGCGTCCACTTCAGCAGGCCACCAGACCATGTTGGCCATGCTCAGGCTGGGTTGTGCCGTCTCTCCAGCAGTGAGCAGTGTGCCAGCACCAGCCGGGGCAGCAAGAGGCGGCGCTCGATGTCCAGCCACTCGTGCGGCCGGTGGCGGGTGGACACCGAGTCCCTCACCGAAGACATGCTGGGCGATGTGGGACTGTCGCTGATGGACGACTCGAGCGGCCTGCCCACGCCGCCAGACAGCCAGGCGGGCACCACACCGGCGCTGGTGAGACGCAGCGGACCAGCACAGCGCCGGCCACTCGCGGCCAGCCAAACCCAGTCCTGCTGAGGTCCAGCCGCGCCGCCCCAGCGCTATTGAGGCACAGTCAGACTACTTCAGCCTCGTTGAAACGCTGCTAGATCGCCGGTAGACCGTTAGATCGCCTTTCGGAACAGATCGACAGCGGCGTACCGCCCAAGATCCTGTGTATTGCTGAAAACTGCTCTCTGCGGTTCTCTTACACACCAAATTTACTCGTGCGATTTTTAGGGAAATCATAGCAACGACCAGGGGGTAAAATCCTCAAAAACCTTTGAGAAGTCACATAACAAGGGTGTCTTGGGGCTTGTAAATGAAGGGAAGCAGCACACATGACATTGGCTAAAAAGCCAACGTCAAGTATGCTGCCTTTTCCAACTTGTAATACTTTCCCATCTGTTGATGATGGTTATCTCATCCCCTTCTGGTCGGTCACTGCCCTCTGACCCCGCATGCCCTGCCATATCAGACCTCAGAGTCTAAGCCCATCCCCGAATGGTTGCTGTTCTGTGCCCTTGTAGTCTGACTGACAGAGGGTGACCTGGTCGTCACACGACACGTTAGGCTATATATATATATATATATATATATATATATATATATATATATATATATATCAATACACAGATGAACTTACGGCATAAGTCCAGTAGTCGTGCTGCCATCAAAATGCGAATTATTGTGCCATTCTGGCGTTCTGCTTAGCGATTTTTCGTGGAATCGGTCGCCAGCCCGACGCAACCCAACCCAGCTGACTTACCGGCGTATGAGCAACCGTGCTCGGGCTGGTGTGGACAAAGACAATGACCAAAAACCGGCTAGTCTGGAGTACGAGCCAATGAAAAGGCGACCAGCGTACCACGAGGGGTACGGGTTTCAACTTGTGCAACCACTCCGCCTGGCGAGCAGCGTGCGGCCAAATACCGAACGGGGTTGATAAGCGATCTGTGCAGAGAGTGAAAATAAGTGTGGAACGATAGACCCTCCTTATGTAACCGTTGGAGTCTATAAGGTTTGCCATGGTGTAGGTCTACAGAAGTGACGCATCGGCCTCTGTTTTGAACATGTACATGATTATTTCTTTGGGATACCCGGGTGAACTGTGATTGCATTGTGATCGTAGTTTAACTGCGGTATGTGAGCCATACTGTTCGTGTTGACGCGTCGGCGCATGCCTGCGCATTAATGCATGCATTTTCACTTGCAGAAGCCGCCAGCCGACGCTTACCTAGATCCTTATTCTGTGATGGCCGAGAGCTACGTGCCCGAGGGCTTTCTAGTGTTTAAGCGACGAAACCGGGCAGGCGATCGGCTTTATGGTAAGACGAGACTCCCGTTGACTAACATTCCCGAATACTAGTACATACTCATATGATGTTGCTGACATTAATACGTTTTTGTGGAAGACATTTTGCTTTTGAGCAACACCATGCTTCACTAGATACCAAGCTTCATGTATGTCTTCAACTGGTTCTGTTCGGTTGTATTTGGATGTCCATCGGATTGCCAAGTTATTACGTTCAAAAGGCTCCTCTCGTTGTTACAGTCCATCGCAAGATCTGCATTGTAAGCTAGGCATGTTCCACCGCTTAGCTGCAGGGAGCAGAGCGCTGTCGTTACGTGTCCGTCCCCAGTGAGGGACCGTTCCCCTTATGTCGCCCGCAACGTCCATAAACTCAACTCATGCATGTGGCGTTCGCCCGCCGTCCCGGCAGATCCGTTCTGTCGCCTGTCGGACGAGATCATGCTCAAGATATTCGGCCTGCTGTCCAAGTCGATGCTGGTGCGGTGCGGCCGCGTCTGCCGGCGCTGGCGGCAGCTGGCGTTCGACGAGACGCTGTGGCGGCGCGTGGAGGCGGCCGGCCGCACCCTGCCGGCCGGCGGCCTGGGCCGCCTGCTGCAGCGCGGCGTCCGGCTACTGCGGCTTACCCGGGCGGAGGTGCGGCGCCGGACCGGTCCTGCTGGCGGCGCCACCGTCGCACTGGGCTCGGCCTTGCTCTCGGCACGCCTTACACACACCACGCCGTGTTGTATTCAAGGCGGAGGCGCTCTACAGACTCGGTCACGCTGGTTTGCCACCGTCGTATCGCGTGTTTCAGTAGCATTGGCACAATGCATCCTGTGCAGAATCATGAACACGGCCCCTGCGACATAACTTGCAATGCCGTAACGAATATCGAGGCGTCACAGTGTTTGGTGCAGTGTGTATGCATTACAGCATGCATCGATATTGCAGATATCCACGCCTATCTTCAGCGAACCTCTGAATCGGCTGAAAGGCATGCCCTTCGTCTCGAAGCTGGTGTTCCTGGACCTGAGCATGGCTGTCGTCTCCTGCCGAAGGTCAGTTGTGTGTGGACAGGATGGTGTGAAAAGGCGACCCGCCAATCGGATTCGACATACGAAACGAAATTTCGTGGCAAAAACCGAAGCTGAGTATGGTTGAGGTGTTGAAAACACAGCGGCAGTTGCAGCGGCCCGCACCGACCGCCGCTGAAAGGCGCCAGTGTTTGCACCCGGCCGTACAGGCTTCACCAACTGATGGGGAACGCAGGGTGGCTACACTTTTTCGTAACATCCGATCGTGTCTGCCAAATGTGCCGAAATTTGCACCGCGCGGTTTCGAAGCTTCGTTAACATTCGGTGAGAATGTTAGCCTTATAGAAACATAGTTTGTAGTGCTTTGGCTTTAGTCAGAGCGCCAACTAGTAACTTGTCATTCTACACAAGCGCGCATGGCATGTTGTTTTTACCATGCATGTTGTTAATTTTGCTTTTACCTTTCCACGAATCTCAACTTAAATGTGTTTCGAAAGTATTTTAAAACATTAACCAACACATTCCATGTTATGAAGGGTGCGTTGCTTCCGCTCCCAACTCCTCCCTTGGAATAAACCATCAGTCAGTCAGGAGACATTGATGCTGTTGGGTAGCTTGCTACCCCACAGACTGCAGATTATCGCTCGGGCGCCCCGTGAAGAGCTATTCGGTTACCCGCCCGGTCGGCCCGTAGCCTGGACCCGATGTCCCTCTTAAGGGTGACTGGCCCCATCCCTCTGTTCCGCACCGGGTGGCAAATTTCTGAGAGGGATTTTCCGCTCGACTGCGGACGCTGCCGCCATCTCATGGATGCTTCATGAACTACCCAAAATGGGTCCGCCGATGTCGAAACAGCAAGCACGCAGTGTGTGTTTGCCAGTTGTTTGGCAGGAATTGTATAAAAATGATTATCTGAACAGGTCAGTTGACTCCGTTTTTCAAGCTTGATGTTAACAACGTATTATATGGTAAGGTATAATAATTCTGCAACTGCAACATGACAGACCATAAGAGGAACTTGGAGCCAACAAAATTAGTCATCCGTCCATACCAAGCTGGAATGTGCACGTAGTGGGTGGGGCAAAGTAAATGGCACATGCGATATCCTGAGTTCTTCAACCCACTTTTTTAGCAGAAATTGTGCAATCTTTGCGATATGTAACAGACATTGCAATTAGCTATATTTGGTGACAAGGGCGCAGTCACCTCTATGCGAGGTCCAGATGTGATCGAGGTCCGGTGCCTGGGTCTGTACTCCTTACTTTCATATTCTCCGTTGGCTTAAGGTTAGCAATGCACCCATCAGGTATCAGAAGGCGCATACCTTTTTCGAATGTTGTCCATATTTTTCAAGGTTTTAGAGGAAAGTATTTTTTCATCAATTTCCGAACTTCGTCGAGCTCATGGCAAAACGTTTCTGCCGCAGTGTTCAATATGTTTACAAGGAAGACAACTGGTGCTGCGTGGGATGAGCCAGGCGATTGGTAGTAGCGTGAAAATGCGGTAGTCGCCGATCATCACCGTTTTTGAAAACGCCGAGTAAATTTTAAAACATTGCTCCAAATTTGTATGAGGTTTTGGTGTGTTCAAGGCACGTTGCGGATTATTCGGCGCAGGTAGCAGCTTTCCAGACACGGCAATCGTCCTTCTTAACAATGCTGCGCGGGCTTTGTGGCAGTTGCGGTGAGTTACTTTATCTTCTTCAGAATGCGAGAAGCTATACATATTCCTAGTTATTACGGAAATAACACTTGTAATCAAATAGCCTGAGAATAGCGCTATAAACGAGCACGTGAATACAAGTAATCAACTTAAACCCACGGACAGATATGCAAGAACACCATGAGAAAGATCCAAAACATGAGCACCTAACAAAAGTTAGCTCAGCACGCACCCAGCATTGCCACGGGCCGCCTCTCGAGGAATTGAAAAACCACAAGTGAGTGCTGCCATGCAAACGCTCCGTGACGCAATGAAAGGCGTATTGAGGAGCACATTTTATTACATAGAGCCGCTTTTTCTATTAAAAGCATATCAACAATTACAAGCGAGTTTATTGCATCATATCTGACTGCTTGGGTGTCTTGAAATCGGGATCCTTCGCTTTAATATAGCTGGTGCTAATGTGAAAGCACAAATATGTTAGCTGCGCCCAAGCCAAAGCTGCTGTGCATTGATCAATTCTTTGGATAGCCCGCCTTTCATGAGAGTTTTGCAGGCGGAGGCAGATTGAAAAAGCAATCTCGACATCTTACAAACACACTTCTGAAATTGGCGGCAATGAACCCGACCAAGGCTATAACAACGATTCGAACATATAAAAACGACAATAACGACGTATCACATTAACAAGACACATAGAAACAGGAGAGGCTGGTTATGCGTGACAATTTCGGCCGGCGAAATTCACCAATGCGCAGTGGTCTACGGTTTCGGTATCAGTGATCATTGTTCAGAAAAAACAAATATTTCGGTTGGACATTGGCCACAGTGATCAGAAATAAACTCATCTGTTTCCATGGCCCGACAGGCCACTTCATCTTGTATTGGAGATCGGTTTCAGAGATGACGTTATCCGCTTTCCGGTCGATTTCTGGTCTAGTGGTGGGTGGGGCGGTTTTGAGATTCGTTAGTGGGCGGCGACCTACACATTCACCTGCACCAGACACTTGATATAGCCATTGTGTGCTCTGGTTCCTGATGTCTAGCATCAGTCCCGAAAAAAGAACGAGTGGATACATCGTTAGCGTACTAGCGTACACCGATCCAAACTTATGTCTGTACGATTGTCCGCGTTTCCTGTTCTTCCCCGCCAGTACCTGTTAGTGCCGCGTCTTTGCTACGCCAGGTCGCCGAGATGGGGCTCAGATTTCCAGTTCGTTCTTCATTCTTTTGCGAGTCCAAAACTTTGCTTTTACGCCTTAATGTGATCCGTAATCCGTTCATGTAATCCCTAATCGTAATCCGTAATCCGTACTTAGGTAAATCAGTGATGGTTTTCAGGCCGGGATCGCTCAAGTTAAAATAAGCGTTTGATTCAAACCACACTCACAAATCATAGCTAAATCACAAATCGGACGACGCGCACCATCGCTCGTGACCTCATGACCGAGGTATAGTTTTCGTAAGACCTCTACCATGGCATCACTCGCTTTTGTCTCGGAGGGCCAGTTTAACGATAAAACAAATCCCGTCGGGGCCCGTTTGTATTTTACCCCTTCGTGGTGAGTGTTAGCAAATAATCTTATCTTTTGTCTAAAGCTGTGGTCATAGCCTATTTTTAAGTTAGTAAATTATACTTATACTTACAGTATAAGGATACAAATACAATCTGTTTGTTTGTGTGTTAGTGGGTGTGCCTAAGTAAAGGAGCATTTGAATCCGTCTTAAACATGCTTTCTTTGAGGTGCCGGGATGAAATGGGCGCGTGGTGTATTTTTGCTGATGATGAAAGTAATTGTATTTAGTGTTTGCCTGTACACCGGCATGAAGCAGTGCTGTGTCGAAGAAGAGTGTTGATATATCTGGTCTTGATCATCAAGTGTTGTGACCACGCCTTGTTCGAGCATGATGGTGATGCGAGGCTTTCAGTTGGCCTTTTGTGCTTTGATCATTATTCCCGCTAGTTTTGGCCTTTCGGAGTCGCGCAAGTCAGTTCACGAGCCTTTAATAACTTCCGAAGGTCCCGGACCCGTTAGGCGCAAAGAACTGTTTCCAGAGACGAAAGAACTCTTGGACAAGTTAGAGAAGGCCACGTCAGTGAAGGACGTCGAAAATATTGCTCTCGACGACGACTCGTTTGAGCTGGTGGACTTTGGGAAAACGAACGGACCCACCGACGAACCAACGTCAAAGTCCTCTCCCACAAAAGCGGGATCGTCATGTCAAGCAGCTCCAAAGCAAGACGGCACTTCCTCGACGGACCGGTCTGATGAATTACCTCCTGCCACGACTGAATTACCTTCGGCCACGACTGAAACCGGGCCATCTCAGCAGGAAGATGGTAGCTTAAGTTCAAATGAGAACACCGAAAATAAGATAAATCCTATATCATCAAATGAGGAAGCACTGCGTGGTAAAGCTTCAACCAAAGGCCTCCCAGACAGTGAAACAGCTTCCGCTGACGCAGCCGACCAGGACTCGCCGGCAGACGAAGGCACAGTAAAGCCGGGCTCTCTCGGGGCGGCCGTGGAGCGGCGAATGCAGGACCCGTTCCTCCGAACATTCTGTTCCCCTCCCAACGGACACCAGTGATCCGAAGAAGAAACGGAGGAAAAAGAAGGCACGGGAAGAGCCGGCAGCGCCGACAAAGGAGCAACTGGAGGAGACATACAAGTATGAGGTGCTGGCGCCACCTGATAACAGTCCTGTCCAGTTGGACCTGCCGGCCACACCGACGGCGCAAGGCGAAGAACACCTGTCGCAGCACGTGCCGCTCTCCCTCTACTGCGACGCCTGCATGGCTATCGCTTTCCAGCTCCACCTGGCCTTCAGCAAGTTCTACAGCCAGGTGACGAGGCGGCCGCCGACAGAGAGCGAGATCTACCACTTGGTGGATGAGTCGTGCCAACGCAGCCGCTTCCAGGAGTACGGCATGATGGAGGTGCACGGTCATCGACACATCACCGGCCCTGGCTGCAACGAGCTGGAGGCCGAGGGCGGCGTCAAGCACTCGCGCGGCCCCTGGCCCCGCCGGCTGGCCGACCGCTGTCTCGAGGTGACCGAGGACGTTGGCGAGATGACGATCCACGCTGCCTGGCTGCGCGCGGACCGCGACCCGGAGCTGCTCAAGACGTTCATGTGCTTCAGCGCGGCTCCGCGCGACTACTGCGAGCGATACGGCCACATAGACGCGGCCGCTGAGACCGCCGCCCGCCGCCGCCGCCAACAGGCCGCGTCCGGCGAGCCCGGGGCCGAGACGACCGTGGCGGAGGCGGACCACCAGGTGAAGCTCGAGGCTGGCAACGCGTCCCGAGACGAGCTCTGAACGCTGGGGACTCTCGTCAGTGGCGAGCTCTGAGCTCAGACCGAAGACGGTCTCTGAGCCGTTCCCGACCAGAGGCGAGCTCTGAGCCCTACATCGATCGAAACCTACTCTGAGCCATACCTCGGTCGGGGCGAGCTCTGAGAACTCCCCGACAAGGGACGAGCTCTGGGCGCCACCCTGAGCGAGGTAGTGGGCTGGGCGTTACCTCGGTGCCATCCAAGTGGATAGGCCTAGATGTTTCCGTGCGCATGGTATACATGGTTCAGATTGTGGAATGGAAAATGTTGGCGTGGGAGACAGACGTCACCGAATGAATATTGCACTTGAACGTACAAGACCCATACGATGCTCCCACGGCTGTTGCCAGGACGAACCGGCGCTGAGGCAAATTATCTGGTATGTTCGCGTCTTGTTGTCCATGAACGACGACCCAAACGAGCACCCCAGCTTGATACATTTCGCAACTTGGTCACTGCGCGTAGGTTTATTTTGTAAAAATAAAACCCTAGATGGTAAGTTGTACTTATGTTAGTAAGTACTCATGTTGATCTGGAATAAGCGATATGTGGTAGTGGTATGGGTACCACATCTTTGTTATACAGCCTAAAATCAATAAACGATGCTTGCGGATGCATCCGTCTGGTTGACTGACTGAGCTAACTCATAGTTTGCTTACATTGTCCCCCGCCACCGAAAGTTGTAGTGCGAAATGAATGCGCCCATCCATTTTTTTCTGGAGTTGACTCCTTGACCGTTCCGTGAATACTATTTCTTCCCAGCTGTACGTTTGGCACCGATTTGGACTCTGCCTGAAGGTTCCAGCAAAATAAGCCGGAAAGTTGACATTCTTTTGCGCATTCTTTGCACGTGTGCAGTGTGCACTAGGTGGGTCTGCTCAGTTGCAATGAAAGTGAAGATGTGGAGCGTTGTTATCAGGAGAGACATGACTGTCGGTGGTGTTTGTCAATATCTTTCGGGGTTAAGCTCACATCGGAGTACATCTTCAAGAAGACGCCCAGAAGGGCGCACAACTACTATGTTTGAGTCAGGATGTTACAAGTGGCATAATTGAGGATA